AAACCGGGCCCGAACGATTGGCGGCTTGCTGCTGCCTAAGTCGGGAGACTTCCTCTTGAAGCTTTTCATTCTCCTCCCTCAGGAAGATCACCATTTCCGCTTCCATCGCACGCTGCAGCCCACACGAATCGTCTACATCCGGCTTTGGGGGCGGTGCATGCTTCGGAGGAGGAGCATACTGCGGTGGGATTGGTCCCATCGTTTTGTCTCGCCTGCTTGGAGGCTCCCCACTGGACTCCCCAGGCATTTGACCCTCAGTCTTTCCAAGCCCACCTCGGCCTCTTCCCTCGGAACAACGGCGGCTCGGAGGTGTGACGAACAGCCGTCCGCCCAAGGTCAGTGCACCCCGACCTTTTCCCAAGCCGCTAGCGGTGTTCTGATCCTGCACCGCTTCCAGGTCCAAGTCTTCGTCCTGTGGGACTGGCAAGTCCTCGGGTCGCTTGTGGCGCAACAGCGCCTCAGCTTGCAGCCGCTCCGACCACCATGGATTCACGATGGCCGCATGGCCACTCGCCGGCACCGAGTGTGACCGTTCGGTCGCCATCGCTCGCGCGGAACCGCGCTAGGGTCTTGGGCTCATAACCCTCGACAAAAACCTCACACCTTTTCTTCTTGGACAAAAAATGCCTGTGCGCGGTGGTCTCACCGTCAGAATAGTAATATCATGCTTCTAGATCTATTCATTCTATTCATTGAATGGGTCTATCCAATTTCCACGTGGCAATCACACTCACCGCCACTGATGCATGCTCACCAGGCCGGCATTATCCCCAAAGGCTTCGGCCTCGGTTTGACCGGTGAGCCTGCCACGTTGGCCACGTGAAGCTTCCGCGCGATGCCTGAGCCTCGTTTTTACGTTTTTAGCTACTAGTAACAAGTGCATCACGACTAGTAACAAGGACGCTACTAGTAGCTAGGGCATTACTAGTAACAAGAAGCTACTGGCCATTAGTAACAAGATGCCTTACCACTAGTAGCTAGAAGCCACTAGTAACAAGGGCATCGCCACTAGTCACTAGAGTGAACACAAACTGTCATTCCGCACCATGGTTGAAAGTTTGTGCTTCACCCGCCCTCTTGCTGTTCCATGCTTCTGTGATTGGTTCGCCGACCAATAACTTGCGATTAATTTGAGTTGGAGAGATGAGAGACGTCACTTTTGCTCCTAATGCTTCTTGTGAATAGACATTGCTACTGTAGAGGCCAATTGGCAGTAGCAGATATGGATCTGTTCAACCCCTGGGCACTGCTTCAGCCCAGAAAACGGGAAAACGCAATCATTTTTTGCAAGAATACTATGTAATATACTATACTAGTATAGTATATAATGCGGTAAACGTCATGACTACGCAAGCCATGTTCGAAGCGGAAGGCATGCTTTGTCGATTGTTTCGTCCGAGTTGCCAGGTGTGGTGCCGGAACAAGGCCCGAAGCCTTGAGGTCTTGAGGTGCGATGGTTTTGGAGCGCAGAGGGTTCGGAACATGTGCAACGGTTCGGTATAGTGTGTCTGTTGGACGGCTGGAAGAGCAGCTGTGTGACTCAAGCGGTTCTCTGGGTGGGGCAGTTGTCATCGGCAGACAAAGTTGGTCTGAGGCATTGAACAAAATGACATGGCAAAGCAAGGATGCGCTATTACCTGAAAAAGTAAGGGCTCAATATTATGTTGAAGCTTCAGGCATTGTCAGCCAGCCTCAGCAACTTGGTTTGTTCCCAAAAGGATGCCATCATTGGAGGGGCAATGGTTCTGTAACGTGTTTTTTGTGTCCGAAGCACTTGCCACACCTGCCTCGCTTCCCAGCCCCTGGCAGGCTGAAGATGTAAGCTTGAGACAGAGGTGACAAGCCTAATAACAAAGGGGCCAGTCTTTGAAAACAGTTCCCGCAAATATCATCAAATATCACTCGTTGGTAAGCAGTGAGACCAGCAGTTACGAAAAGGTGGCCTCGCTTCAGAACAGCCCGAAGCATGTTGTCGCGCGAGTATGGCAAGGAGATGCACGTGCTCAGCCTTGAAATCGAAAAGGAAGCACAATGTTGGCCATTGGAGTGTGGCAGGAGAAAGAACAGTCAGTCAAACACGGTGTTCAAGGGGTTGATCATACGTATGTGCGAAGTGTATTCAAGAACAACAACACAGAACCTCCACTAACATCCCAGGGTGGGCATTCGTTGGGGGTGTCCCATTACCTGTAACAGTCGGTAACCAAGTGTTTTAGAGAAAGGCCTTTACTACTACTACTACTACTACTACTACTACTACTACTAATAACAATAGTAATAAATATAATCATCATCCATTGTTACAGGGAATTGGATAAACCCAGGGCATTCGCCTTTGCTTCATTGCGCTTGGAGTCTTCTTGGAGGTGTTTGGAGCGGAGCCAGTGGACGGACCATTTTGCTCAGACCTAGTTACGGCTCGGTTCTTGTGGCGGAACTCTCACTGCGCAAATCACAATGTGGATCCTTCTTGGTCAGCTACCCAGCCGCACATCATATGCATGTAGTATCGTGGTGAGTTTCTCATAAACTCGGATGTCTACTTTTGTTTTGAATGGTCATCCCAGTAGCCTTTTGATACCCCCGAAGATTAGGAACCCATCAATTTAGAACTTGCACTACCGGATCAAGCGATTCGATCACACACGCATTCTCACAGTCACACAGAGTGGACCAAAACCGCCCGCAACCCGACCAGCAGAGCTTTGCTGCCGCTCTATGGAGGATGGAGGCTCATGAGCCCAACCACGAGGCGAGGAGTATAGGGGATCTCTTTTCTTTTGGTTGAAGTATTTATTTACAGCCTTCGGCATGCCGCCGGCCACCAGCTCGAGCCCGCATTGGCAGGCAGCTTAATGATACAATACCCTGCTCAATCATACTTGTTGGTGCATTGGAGGTGCACATTTGGCTGGGTGAGTTTGTTGATGTTTATTTCAAGGTTGTTTGACCATGAAATGGAACGAATCCGAATCAGAGGTTGTCTATTCTGATCCAGCGATCCGAACCGGCATGTCTCAGTCGAATCACCTAAGAGGAACCAAGTGAAACCAACACAAGCAATGCGAACCAAGACTATCCACAAAACATGACCTTGAAAACGATTCTTCTGCCAAACTACTTGGCTGTGTGCATGTTTTCCTTTTCAGATCTTTTTTCGACCGTCTCGAGGGATTGCGACACGCACCAGATAGTCTTTTTCACACACAGAAGGCTTCAAAGCGACCGAAGAATTTCTAGATCTGGCATGATTTGTCGTTTTTTCTCCAAACCGTTTGAAATGAAAGACCCAGAATGACATCGAACAACAATACCCTGCTCAATCAGACTTGTGGGTGCATGGGAGTTGCACATTTTGCTGGGAGAGTTTGTTGCTGTTGATTTCAAGCGAAGTCGTTTTACAATGAAATGGAACGAATCCGAATCAGAGGTTGTCTATTCTGATCCAGCGATCGACATGTCTCAGTCCAATGGTTGTCTATTCTGATCCAGCGACCTACTACCTATTACCGACTACCTACTACGTACCACCTACCTACTACCTACTACCTACTACCTACTACCTACTACTGCTGCTACTACTGCTACTACTACTACCACCACCACTACCTACAGTCCAACCTACTACCTA